GAAAGCAAGTAGATGAAGGTAGGTCTTTAAAATGAAATGAATGCAATATATGGCAGTAAAACTACAAATTAAAAAAAAAAAAGAATGAAAAAGAAAATAGCCCTACAATGAAAATATTGAAGAAATAAAGCACATGTTTCTGTGACTATTCTGGTGTTCCCCTTCCAACAATTTTTTATCCCTTTACATCCATCTCAACTTTTAAAATTTAGCACCAATGGAATTTAGCACCAACTAAAGATAATAAAAACAGTAACTACTGACCACAAACTGTACTATACACCCAAGCCATTAGTCTTACATATGTGATCTACTAGCTAATCGGGAAAGTCATGACATATTTTTCTGTGTGTTTCTATGTAAAAAATGCATCATGACTTTCCTGATGACCCAACAGTTGGCCCTCTTATAAAACTTATAAGGTACTTAGGATTGCCCATTTCACATTAGGGATAAAAGGCAGATTGAATAGATAAACAGATCTGTTTCCTCCAGACTTCCCAGAGTCATTATATGAACTGGCCTTATAAATGGTGAAATGGCGAATTACACAGCCAATTACCGGTTGATGTGTACACTGCCTACTATCCATCTCTTGGTCATTAGTTGTTCCTGGATCTAGTATTTTACAAAACTCACTTTAAGAAAACCTAATGTAGGTAAGAGGGGTGAAAAGTAAACTTACAGAAGTGCCCCTAAGGCCAGCCAAGGTGCAGAAGCCTTCGGGGCAGCAATGAGAGGAAAGGCATGCTCTTTTAACGTGTTTTGGAGATATCTGTAATTAATAAGCTTCTATCTTGAACATGGACAACTGAGTAGATGCTACTGAATTTCCACAAACATAGGAAAACATACACTAATCCAAAACCGAGTCTCCATTACACTTTAATTCTGACTAGGGTTAGTTCTAAGTGGCTCTCAGTTAATAGTGTACATGAGATCACCTGGGGTCCTTCCAAATATAGATGTCCAACAATGCTGTCAACCAACTTGACCTGCTTGACATTTGTAAAACAATACACAAAAGCAACAGAGCAGTGCACACTCTGTCCAAGTGCAAATGGCGCATTCATTAAATTAGTCTATTTAGGGGCTATAAAAGAAAATGAAAACGAAAACCTTAAATTGAAAAGCAGAGAAATCACAGAAAGTAAATTCGCAGGTCTTTAGAGGAACAAAATAGAAATCAATAACAAATATAACAAACATCTCCAAACACTTAATCAAACAACACACTTCTGAATAATCAACAGAACAAAGGGTATAATGTGTCAAGAGAATGAGATGTCAAGGGAAATTAAGAAAAAACATAATTAAATAAAATTGCAACAGATCAGAATGGAAGCTTACAGCCAACGCAGTGTGAGGAGGTCAGCATTATATGTATCTATTAGAAAATAACATCTAAAATCAGCAACCTAGGCTGCCACATTAGGAAGAAAGAAAAGCTAATAAATACCTCCCAAAAAGCAGGAGGAAGGACATAATAGAGAAAAAAAGTCAATGAATTGAAAGCAGAAAAATAATAGAAGAAACAATGAAATCAAAAGCTGCTTTTGTTTCCCCCTAAAAAAAAATAAATAAAAATCAATGAAACTGATAAATTTCTAGCATGCCTGGCCATAAAGGGAGAAGTCACATGTGAATATAGCAGAAATGAAAGAGTAGTGTTCTCATAAATACCGACAAGTAATAAGGGAGTGTTATGCATAACTTTATGTCAATAAATTAAGCTAGGAAGTGAAACAAAAGAATTACTTGAAAGACACCAAGCATCACAATGAAATAAAGAATACATAACCTGAATGATCCTATATAAATTCCAAATACTAAATTCACAATTTAAAAAACTTCCCAAAAGGCAGATCCAGGCTCTGATGGTTTCACTGATGAGTTCTATCAGTGAAAGGAAGGGCCAGACAGTGGCGAAGTAGTCATGGAACTAGAACCACATGGGAAAGGTCAAAAGTGCATTTTTTTATTAAAACCAATACCACAACAACATCACAGGAAAACAGTGTTTATACAACAAAATACGTGCAGGCTCAATATGCTTTAAACTATAAAACATGACTAAAAGAAGTTTTAAAAAATCTTGGGGACCAGCAATTAGCGCAATGGCTATGTCGCTGGACTCCCACATAGTTGACCATGGTTTGCGTCCCAGACCCGGTGGCTTAAAATTCACACCTGGCCCGTGTGCGTGCGTGCCCAAGATCCCGAGAGGAGAATGGAGAAGGGATTGCAGCGTGGCCATCCCTCCTGGGGAGTGATTTCTTGCTTTCTGTCTCTCTGTCTCTCTCTGTCTGTCTGGTGAGCGCACATGCCCTATAGCAAAATCTTCTTTAAAAAATCTAACTATGTTATTACAAATTTTTATAGATTCATTGCAATTACGATTCAATTTTATTTTATTTTGTAGACTTCAATAGTTAAATTTAACATTATGTGTAAAGGTAAGTGAACTAAATTCACCAGAAAGAAGTGTTTTATTTTTTTTTGGGGGGGGGGTTGCTATAGGGTGCTTGTGCTAGCCAGAAAGACAGAGACAGAGAGACAGAAAGTGAGAAATCACCCCCCAGGGGTATGGCCACACTGCAATACCTTCTCCTCCATTCTTCTCTCAGGATCTTGGGCGGGCACGCACGCACATGCACCCGGCATGAATTTAAGCCACCGGGTCCGGGACTCAAACGATGGTCGACTACATTGGAGTTTAGAGACATAGCCATTACACTAACTGCTGGTCCCCCTAAAACAATTTTAAAAGAAGAAAACTGGAGATTGACACTACACAATGCAGTATTGGTAAAAGTATAGACATTTTGATTAAGGGAACAAAATAGAGGCCCAGAAATAGGCAAATGCAAATAGAGACAACTGACTGTTGGTAAAGGTGTAAAGAGAGAAATGAAGGTTAGTCTTTTCAAAAAAAGATGCTAAAAGTATTAGTTATTGGCATACAGAAATCTTCAGTTTTGATATTTACCTCTTACTTCATATAAAATTATCTCTAAATGGGTAATGGATCTAAGTGTAAAATAGAAAACTGTTTTTCTGAGAGACTTTTGTGTTTTTGCTATAGGGCACATGTGCTGACTGGAGAGACAGAGACAGAGAGACAGAAAATGATAATTCAACCCCCAGGAAAGATGGCCATGCTGCAATCCCTTCTCCTCTATTCTCCTCTCAGGATTTTGGGCGTGCATGCACACATGCCTGGCATGAGTCCTGAGCTGTCAGGTCCAGGACTTGAACTCCAGTCAGTCATGTGGGAGTCCAGCAACATAACCATGATACCATCTGCTGGCCCCCAAACTAGAAAATTTTAGACAAAAACAAAAAAATAAATCTATATAACCTTGGGTTAGGAAATCAGTTTCTATACATGACATCAAAAGCACATTTATAAACAGGAAAACTGATACATTTTGTAAATATTTGTTCTATGGCAGGCATTATAAAATATGAAAATGCAAGCCAAAGACTGAGATAAAATCATGTATCTGGCTAAAAAAGAAAGTAAAAACTTGTATTCCGAATATGTAAATAATTAAGCTCTGCAATAAATGTACCAACAACAGGGACCAGCAGTTGGCATAATGGCTATGTCACTGGACTCCCATGTAGTCAACCGTGGTTCTAGTCCTGGACCCGGTGGCTTAAACTCATGTTGGGCGCATGTGCATGTGCGTGTGTACCCAAGATCCCAAGAGGAGAATGGAGGAGAAGGGATTACAGCATGGCCATCCCCCCTAGGGGGTGATTTCTCACTTTCTGTCTCTCTGGCAAGTGCACGTGCCCTATAGCAAAAAAATCTCCAAACAAAGAAACAAAACCAACAATAAAAAAGAACGGGCAAAACATTTTAACACAGACTTACATAAAAGATGTAGAAATATTATAGCAAAGGAGCACATTAAAAGATAACCAGCATTAGTCATTGCAGAAATGCAAATTAAAACCACAACAATAAGCACTATGCTCCATTAGAATAGCTTAATAAAAAACAAGAAATTAACAATACTAAATACCAGAAAAAATGCAGATTGGCAGTCATTGTTGGTAAGACCCACAATGGCATGGGCACTCTGAAAAGTGGTTTGACATTCTCAAAATGTTAGACATAAGAGTTAACATATCCTGGAGCAATTCTAATCGTGGGTTTTTATCCAAGTGAACTGAAAACTTATTCAAGGAGACTTCAAAAGTTTGTGGGAAATGGAATTAAAGTAGGAATTTATTTTAACGCAAAACTTTTTTTTAATCTATTCATAGTTTTGTCATAATATCCATTTTCCATGAGCTTTTTGAAGACATCTGTATTTCCACAAATGTATGCAAAAACGTTTACAGCAATTTCATTTATAATCACTGATACGGTTTGCATAATGGTTTGTCACACACAGTTTCATGTTTTAGGAATTTGGTCTTCGTTGGCAGTACCTCAATACACCCCAGAAATGTTTATGCTGGGATTTAATTTTATTGATTATACTATATGCGTGTGTACCCAAGATCCCAAGAGGAGAATGGAGGAGAAGGGATTACAGCATGGCCATCCCCCCTAGGGGGTGATTTCTCACTTTCTGTCTCTCTGGCAAGTGCACGTGCCCTATAGCAAAAAAATCTCCAAACAAAGAAACAAAACCAACAATAAAAAAGAACGGG